TTTATTAAAGAAAAGGAAATATTTAGCCCTACTACAAAGGAAAGGTGAATGAACTACTGAAGCTGTCAATGAGGAAACATTTCATACTGCCAAAGTAAGTCAAGGTGAAATTGGTAGTGGGCCAGTAAATGATCAAAGGTCCACTGAATTACACTGGCAGTTCATGGGGCAAAAAACCACAGAATTTTTTAAAAATACCACTCAAGTTTATTTTGCCACAGCTTCCCTCAGTTTTACTTCTGCCTTTTGTGAATGCAACTGCTTTGTAAGTTTGATATCAAACTCCAGAATGGCAAATAGAGTAGGTAAAATTTTCACAAGGATGTAGCTCTGGAAGTCAGTAGTTTAGGTTTATAAACCATTGGTCCTAAAATGGATCATTGATGCAATCAGAATGAAATGGTTGCACCATACATTAATTCAGGAGCAAATGTAATGGGGACATTCCAATCAGAACACAGTGGTAATAAAAGCTGTGAAGGCTGTTATACAAAACTCGGCACGTGAGATTCAATAGTCAGACTGTAACCCAAAATTACTTTTAAACTATGACAATTTTTACAGGAGAACAAGACTAAAAATGGTGCATGCAGTAACAAATGGGGCACTTTAGAGCCACCATCTTTATTCTGAATAATTTGAGACTGATCAGTTACTTTAGCACCATGAAAAACATTAGACATTCATTTCTTACCCTTCTAACAAAGCTGAACTTCAAAGAATGGAGTTAAGGCTAGCAAAGCATGTATCCTTTAATATCAGAAAACATACAAAATATGTCTAAAAAGATACTTAAATATGTCACTGTTACCAATATTGGCACACATTTTGGTATAAAAGCACTTTGCAAACAGAGTTCTGAAACATTAAAAAAATGTTGACACAATATTATATATAAGACTAAGAGGCATACTGAAAATATGTCAAAGCTTACATGACTAGACACTCACTGGCTGTTGAACTGTAATGGTGCTATTCTTGTCAACAGTAAAACACACAAATGAAAATAATTACTTCATCCCCCGCTGTCTCCCACATTCCAGCACTACATCTCCTGTAGTTCAACACAGAATGTTTGTGTATGCCCTGGTCAAAAATGTATTTCTACATACATGCACACACGCTCTGTTAGTATCAGAGGGTCAGTTCAGGCAGAAGAGTTAAGATGTCTAAAAGTCAGCTTATATAACACTTTCAGCTCCCTAAAGGGGAATCCCGGCGCCAAGCTCCCTGCTCAGAGGGGATGGCTGAGCCCCTCCATGTGGGCTCCCACACAGCAAAGCAGGGAGCTGCCCCACAGGGAGAACCCAGCTGCTTCAGCTAACCTGTGAGGACCAGGGTAAGGATAGTAGCATTGATTCCCATCCTTAGATGCTTCCTCTGGAGCTGCAAGGAAGCATCTCCTGTCCCTTTCACGTGCACTAACTAATAAGTATTCTTGCCTGACAATGGTAGTGGCCATTTTTTACATCGCGTGTGATCAAAGCATTCATCTAGTAAGTGCCAGAACTGCTTCAGCACTCTTGGGGGGTGATTCAACCTCGCATCTCCCACTTCATAAAAACTTGCCCAGTCTATCACTATAGCTATTCAAAGGTTTAATGCAGGAAGAAAGTTTGAGAAAGGAAGGCTGAGAAGTACTATTCATATCCAACATGGTGTGCACCAGGTTTGACAATCCAGCGCTGCCAAAGGGAAGGGGGAATCTATATGCCCAGACATTGTGCGTGAAGAGCCAAAGGAGAAAAATGTCAGTTGTCTACCTCAGCTGATACTGAATATACCCTGAAGGATGGCCTCAGAATGACTATGTCATCTCTGACTTGAGAAAGCAATTTAGGAAGGTCCGTAAGTGGTTGCTGAAAGTAAACTTAGAAAAAATTTAAATATTAATGATGAACAGACAAAAGATCTATATGAAAGAAGTTCTAAGAGTGTTAATTTGAAGGCTTAGTTTTACACTTCTACAGGGTAGACAGCATAAATCCAACAACACTTTTTTCATTAATTATACATTGTATATTGTTGCATAGCTTAGATGTAAATAAGAACCTGAACGATTTTCATTATTTCACTCTTTGCTGGACAGCTGTGTTAAGATTTACAAGGATCTCATACCTAGTGAAAAGATGTGTCTGCCATACATAAAACCAACCCCTTGCTCAAAATTAGTCATGGTTTCCATATCTGATGTATTAAATTACAGCATCAAGTAGGACTAGAAATTTCACACTGCCGCTTTAAGTGAGCCTCTTTCTACCCAATTTCTTCTGAAGCTTACCCTGAGAATATTTAATGGGAAAAAAAAACTATTACTCTGTTTATAAGATGAGAGAGCAATGTCTACAAAAAGTACTCTATAAACTGTTCTCAAGAGAGGGATATATCTGAATGATTTAAAGGTTTTCTTGAACTAAGCTAGTATTTCAACTTTGGAATCTACCCCCAACAAGATTAAATCTGGCATTAATTAGGTCATCAAAATGTGAGTTCAAAAAAAAAAGGTTTCCCAAGAATACCTAAAAATAAATTTTATTGCAAAAACTTATTTACATTTACTCAGTCAGAATAAAATTTAGTATTTTGTGCTTTTCCCTCGTTTTCAGAATAGCAACTGTTTCTAAATTATTCAATCATTTTTTCATAAGTGTATTAAATAGTTGCTATTCGTGTTGGGGTTTTTGTATTTTGGTTTGCATTGGGTCTTGTTTGTTGTTTCAAAGGGAAACTGCTAACCTAATTTTTAAAACCTCAGGGCATACAGAATCCAGTATGTTTCTAGGTAAGTTTCTCAATGGTTAGACTCACTGCTAACAATCTGAACTTGACTTTCATTTTATCTGCATCTTTGCTAGCTTTAGGACACAATCTTCTTATGCTTATGTCCAATAAAGGGCATTTTCTATTGGACATTCCCCCCCATACATACAAGCTAACAGTCAAGATGCTAACAAATCTCATGCATTAATTTACTTTTTTTTCTCTACCTTTTCTGATTTTTTTTTTCCCTGAAGCTTTCTCAATTTTAGCGTTGTAAATCAAGCTCTAGAATCAGAAATAGGTTCATTATTCCAAAATCATCACATCACTGTAGCTTCCTTACCCCTAACTCTGCTTCCCTCATCTGACATCCCATCCACTAGCTGTTTTTAACATAGTAATCACTCCTGAACAATTATTCACTCATTGTACCCTCTTCCTGGAGTCTGGTTTTTTGTTTGGTTGGTTTTTTTAAATGTTGTCCTTCATATTTGTGAGCATAATTTACATTTTTAGTTACTCAAATGTGAGAGTTTAGATTTTTATGTAAACCTAAATTTAAGGGTATGGCAATAATTAATCCATACTATTGTTATAATATTTCTGTGTAATTTCTAAAACTTAATTATTTTTTATTTTCTCCCCCAGATAATTTATATAGATACAGAGCAGCAAGTCAGGAAGGTGGTCACAATGATTTCAAATTGCATCAGTGCTGAAAAGAAGCCTTGTTTTTTGTTAAAAATTCAAAGCTAGAATACATGAAATGTAAGATCTGTGATCAGTACTAATTTTTCATAACAGAACAATAGGTAACAAGTGGCTTTTACCAGACTTACTCAACACCTTTTGCATTGCCCAAATAGAAGCTAATACTGAGTAACAAGTTCTACAGAAATACCACAGAGAAGAACAGTATAAGCTGTTAACATGATTTTTGTTATGAAGGCAGTATTTTGCAGTCATCTTAATTAACAATAAATATTTTAATTAATTTTTTTAGAAGTACTTTGAGGTACAGAAGCACAAATCCCAGTGGCACTAAAGGGACCTCTGTTTTAGACATTGGTTTGGGTTTCTCCCCACCTCCAAAGTCCCTCCCATCCACTTCTAACATTTTAAGAGAAAATTCTTTTAAACCTCACTCACGTAAAGCAGAGATTAAAATTCTGCAATATAGAAAAGTATGAGCTTTGGTCTCCATTAATTAGGATGCTTTGCATGATTATATTTAAAGGATTTTTGTAAGTTGATAGATGTAAACATTCTATGCAATAATATTGCTAATATAATTTTTTTATATCACAAATGTGCATGGGCTTTCTGAGCAATTTACTACAACTCTGAAGGAAGAAAAATAATAAAAAAGACAATAAAGGTTATAATTTTAAAAGAGTATGCCTCTGTGGTTTATTTAAAGCACGGATATTGTTATTAATTAAGGAAATGCACCTTAGAAAATGTGCAGTTTGTCTTCAGATCATATTTAGTTTACTGTTTACTATGACACTTCTAAACAAGAAAACATATATTATTGGTATTGAATGGACCATATGTTTAGTATGTTAAGCAAGAAATAGGACATGCAGAGACATTTCTTTGTATTTGAATAAAATATGGAGCTATATCCTACACACAACTGAACACAGCCATAAAGACCTATAATAAACCTGTATGTTCACTTAGTGCAAAAATCTTTAATTGCTGAATGTCTTTTTAATAGCTCATGTATATTCCACATTAAAAACAACTTATTGCACTTAAAAATGTATCTTTTAAAGCTGTCTTGTTTTTAAGAATAAAAAAACCTAAGTACAACAGAAATAATTTCAAATTTTAGTCAAATTCACAATACTGCTCCAAAGTATTACTGTCAGTACAATTTCAAAACTATCAGCTATTCTGAGGTTTCGCTGAAAAATATATACACTTACATGAATAGTATTGCCTTCATCAAATTAAAAAAAAATCTATTATTCAGCAGCTTTACTTCTGAATGTGTTTGCACTTGGAGCTTAGTTTGTGTATATTCAAAACCTCTGCCCATCAAAAGTTTTGTCCTTAATGTTCTTTGTTTGGGCTACTGTGAAAAGGTGAATCAATGCAAAAACAGGTGAATGTTTAAGCAAACTGAGCAGGCTGGGGTATCGAGAGAAAGTAAAGCAGATGTTTAATAATTTAACTTTCTAATTATTTCAGCAAGAGTTAAGGGAATCAAGATGATGCATATTTGTGTTCATGATACAGAACTGTAAAAGACTGTAAAACAGCATGAAAGACTTCAAAAAACAAATCAGTCATAAGAACTACTACATTTTCCAGTATAAACACCCACAGGTGTGCCTGCATTGGACAGATCATGAAAGTTATTGAAGAATCCTGGGTCACTGAACCAAAACCAGCTTTTACACCTCCAGAAATAGGTTCTAATGAATTAGAAAAATATTCTCTTCACACACAGAATCACTATGCACGTACACACTAATGCTCCAGAACTTCAAATACCTTGAAAATGTGGCTTGAAATCAAACTCAACAGCTCATCAAAAAAAGTTCGATGGTATAAAATATTCTTATAGGAGTTTTGCAATTTGAGCGATAGTTCAAAACTTCTTTAGTATTGTATAGCATCTTCAGCCAAAAAGTACAAATGTAGCTAGTTTCAACAGTAGAAGGTCAGGCTGGTACAGCAAAAGAAAGCATCAAAAACCCGATTCCATTTCTTTGTCTGGCTTTTCTGTAGTGTCTGACACCAAAGCACTCTCATTTTCCAGCATTTTCTCAGCAGTTTCTCCATCAACAGGTTTTGATCTTTCTTTTAACTTCTGTCGTTCATGGACCCAGGGGATGAAACACAATATAGCTCCACCAATAAGGGGAGGGACTCCAGCCAGGTAGAATGCTACATCGTAGGTGCCGAGGTGATCACGCAGCAAACCTGGAAAGACAGAAGGTTACCACTGAAATAATGGGGCCTTGGAATTTCCAAAAAACATGTCTTTTTTTTTGGATTCAGAAACTTGGGAGCTGACAGGGATTATTATAACTATTAACCTGACTACCTGACAGCCAAGTATATAAAGGTAGAAAGGTATTCCAAAGTTGATTTAAAGAGTCCTAGTAACAAAGAACTCAGTATGTCACCACTTGACCACTTAATTACCACCCATAATTAAAAACCATATACCATATTTCCTATTTGAAAGTTGCTCATTTCAGCTTCTCCAACATTTGAATTTTACAATGACTTGGAGGAATTCTGTCTGTTGACAGTTGCCTTTGATCAAGGTGCCTCTTAATCTTATTCTAGATATACTGCATATATCGCATTTCCAGTAGCCTCTTATTAAAAAGTGTGTTTTCCAACAATTCATCTAATTGCTCTCTCAAAATTCCTCCCATTAATTAAATTCTATTTAAGTATTAATAGCTCTGGTAGTATATCCACATCAGGAATATGCTGTTCTAGCTTTAAAATTGTGTTCTTTATAATGCTCCCTAGTTCAGTTAAGTATCTTTCAGGAGCACTCACAAGACCTTAGAGTAAATTATGATTGAAAAATCATCAGTAGTAAGGATTATAGCTTGACCCATTTCCACCTCCCAAAGAACTTCCAGTTTTCATCTTCAAAACCTGTACTTGTTCAGATCGTCTCCTGCAAACCCATCTTTCTTTACATCTGCATAACTTAATAAAAAAGATTGCAGCAAACTTTAAAAAGAGTACAGTAAATTGATCACCCATGAGCAGCAGTTAAATTCACCATATATTCTGGAGCATGCACAGAGAATGCAAGTGCACTGCATATGATGTAGGAACAGAAAATATGGCAGTCATGCAACCACAGAAATGTAGTTAAAGCTACAGACTATATCTATACTTACCTGCAATGGGTGGACCAACTGTCATTGGTATTGACATAAATCCAAGTAGAAATCCTATAGCCTGAGAGACATTCTGAGCCCCAACAAGCTCAAAGGCAATAGGAGCCATAATGCAAATGAAGCACCCATCAAACAGGCCCATAAAGAGACAGACAGCAATGAGACCTCCAAAGACGTGGCACAGTGGAATCATCATAGACATCAGGCCAATAAAGAAGAATGAGGCCACCTAAATATAACCAAGGAAAAAATAATAATAACAACACATTGCATCAATTTAGCAAAGGGAACAGATGAGCTTTTTTGCATCTGTAATTAAATTGTCTGCCTGTATTTACTTTAAAATAAATATAGGCAGTCTCCATGGATTACCACCATCAGAAATTACATACCAAGATTAGACAAACAGATAAGACTCATGATATGCAATCAAAGAAATTCCACTACCCATTTCACATGTTTTCAAAATGCATTTGTAATCAACTATCCTGCAGTGATTACGTAAGGTAATTTCTCATGCACCAATATTTTTGCAAAAGTTAATCTGTTCTTTTTACAAATGAAAGCCACAGAAATATCAGAAGTTTAATACAGCTAACAGTATAATTAGACTCTTCACTGTAATTTAAGTAAAAGTATCAGTATTATGAGTGATTGCTTCAGGGTGCTTATATTCAACAGAGGTGGTATTTGAAAGCCTCATTGCAATTTTTCCACATAGAGGTATCTTGCTGTATTCCTGTAGCCATGTATACTTACAAGGATATTATACTGTAATCTTAGATTGTTGTTTGTCATAAATTAAAGGAATAAAACTGTCTTTCAGCAAAATGAAGCAGAATTAAAAAGAATATTAAAAAGGTAAGAGTTTTGCTTGTGTGCTATCCATATGTCAGCATAGGAAACCAATGTTCACCTAATTGCACAAACGCATCTTCCAAGCAAGACATATGCATTGTGCATTGGTCACTCATAGACCATTAAAGAAAAACAAGGTCACTTAAAAACTACTAGATATCACAATTTTTTGATGGATAAGTGACATCAAATAAGTTACTTTATTAGGAAAAGTCTTTAAGCAGACAGCTAGATGAAACAATTTTCAGGACAGCAAACAATTCTTTTATGTAATGTACTTTATTTAGCGTACTAAGAAAAACTGTTGTGAAGCAACTGAAGTATGGTATAAAGACAGAAATGCTGACTGAAGAACCGGGCTTCTTATAGGAGCTTAAGGACAGAGGTAAATAAACTCTCAGTTCTGTGTGTTCTGAGACAGAAAATACAAATATTAATTGAGATGAGTTTATATGAGCAACCTGATCTAGTGGAAGGTGTCCCTGCCCATGGCAGGGGGCTTGGAACTCAATGATCTTTAAAGGTCCCTTCCAACTCTAACCATTCCACAATTTACAATTCTCTGATATTCAAGTAGTAATATGGGGTTTTTTTTAAATTGTTTCATTTGCATTAGTCAAAATTAATGCTTAAATAATTTTTGAATGAGATGGGATGATAGTGTGAACTGTTGGCTAATCCAGAATAATACTTGAGGTGAATATTCACTTTCCCTCAAAAATGCCAATTTGAAACAGGAGAGCTGAAGATGCTGGGACACAGCTTGGGAAAAGTTAACATGTCACATGCTTCAGATTCAGTGAAACCAACAGTACTCGGAAGCATCCTAGTTCATGCCCTAAACAAAAAAGTCCATGGTTTTCAGTTCTAGCTATTCAAGGAAAATAATAAAAAAAGCTTGTAGTTTTACTGCAAGTTTGCTATTTGTGCTTTGTAAATCACGTGTAACATCTCAATGCCGCCTTTTCACTTTTTATCTTAATATTGACATTTCCTGGAAGTGTAACAATAGGTATTAAATTGATGCAAATGAATGAGATACAGTCCCAGTCTTTATCATCAGGGAATTTAAGTTTATGTAACTATGGCAACAAATATTCCATCCTCCACAAAGGTGGTTCTTTCCTACGAACTTTTGTTTTCAATAATGTAGTACAGATAATAGCCATTAGATGTCTCCCTTGTTATTAATTTCAAACCAACACAACAAGAACACCCAGTGGTCGATAACATTCAAGTGTTAACTAAAGCTTTTCCAAAAATCCACAGTAACACTGCTACTTTCTCAAAAAATAGGGGTTTTAAGTGTAGAGGGGAAAAAAGTGTATATCCTCCTTCATCCCCAAGCTTCAGCATTTCTGGAAGCTGTGATTCTGTGAGTAGCCCACTTCATTCAGCAACATCTCCTCAGCTAAGCACCTCCTATATTCCCATGGCTTTACCAGTGTGCACTATGTACAGAACATACTTGACACCAAATTATCACCTATCAAACATCAAGAAGAGAGATCCAAAATCCTTAACAGAGAAACATAAGACAAAAAACACAATCTTTCTGCAATCATTATGAAATCATGAGATAAAACAAAGAAAGCAGAATGTAGAGGATCCCCAAAGGTTTTCTCACTCATATGCTAATGATTAATAATTTTTTGATTACCAGCTGAAGACAGCCAGTAAGTAGTAGACATGTTTCTGTAGCATTAAAAAGAGAAAAAAAAAAAAATCAGAGATTCTTGAACTTTACACCAAAGGCTCTTAGTATCATAAAATATATATTGAGTTTCCTAGAGTTTTGAAATTTCTGAAATTTCAATCTCCAATCAGTTAATTCTGGTTACTTAATATTACCTGCAACCAAAGCCTTCAGAATATTGTTTATATATTCCTTCAGAAACATGTGAAGACATACCTGTAAATAAACTTTTTTTGCACCAGGAATGTAATCTGCAACTCTGCCAAAGATCAATCTGCCAACTCCTGAAGTAATGCCCAGACACAGCAGAAGCACTTCCTCTGGCACGCTGTCACCAAATCTGTCTTTTACATGCTTCATCTGTTTAAAAAGAAGGTTGAGAAAATAATCTGGCTTTAGAATCAAAAGATAAACCTTAGAAAACTTGAGTTAAGTAGAAGTAATCTGTGAATTTCAGATTTACAAATATGGCTACAAATGGTCAACTAACTTACTCTGCTTTTACAGATTTTAGAGTAAGTTTTGGGCCGGCTTATCAGTATTAAGCGCAATACAATAAAAACAATCTGAAAATGTGTTGTTGCTTTATTCAAAATTAAGGAACTTAATTCAAGAAAACAACAAGGCTGCATCCAATACCAAGAAAACTGAAGAGAACTCAGTCTCCCCAACCATGTTTAATTTACTAGTCAGATTAATTTACAAGTTACAGATTTAACATAACACACAATCCACAAAGGATGTCTAGAACTGGTTGCTTCACTGGTTGGGGCATGCTCTCAGGTCTGAATGTACAGAGATCGTTGAGTACCTTAAGACAGCGGTACATGCTACCAAACTTAAAAGATAGCTCAAGGCAGGTGCCAGAGGCAGAAGGGCAGAGAGCTGGAGGCCAGGCAGTGCAAGCAGAAGGGGCCCCTCCAGATTGCCTTATCCTGACATCAACGATCACCATGACATCCAGGGGCAAGGAGGAAGAGGAGCAAGAACCACCTGCAGTGCCAAACGCAACAGCAAGCACTTCCAGGAGAGGGTGCAGCTAGAGCAGCTATGAGTGGGGCAGAATGGAAGAATGATTTATCAGCCACTTCAAACCTCAAAAACTAAAGCAACAGACCAGCTGTCCTGACAGTAGACCATCAACTACAACGAAGAACTACCAGTGTCCATCATCCTAAAAATAAATACATAAATAAAAGATCATAAGACTGGCTTGATGGATTTGGATTTTTTTTTTTATATTCCTTCTTGTTCCACTGTGTTTTCTGTTTCTTTGTGGTGGGCTTTTTAAAATCAACCATGAAGACCAGAAATTACCCTTTTTGGAACAAGCTTGGCAATACCAAGTATGCCAAAGCAAGCATTAGAAGATGTAGAAATCATTTGCATAGTCCTGCAATCTCTGCACTTATAACTAATTCCAAACAAGAAACTGTAAAGACTCAGAAGGGTGAAGAACAAACAGAATAAACTGATTTTAAGTAAAGATGTGTTAAACAAGAGACAAGGTGACCACAGGCTGACAGACCTGGATAGCAAAAGCTGCATGCCAATTTTTTGTTATTAATTCTGATTATGTGGTATCACTTCAAACTAAAGGACTCTTATTTTCTGATATATAAAATGGAAAAGTTCAGTTTTAGTAAATACTTCTAGAGCAAAATAGTCAAGATTCTTTCATGGCCAGAGTGTTAATACACAAGCAGAGCCTTTCCCCCCCGCCCCTCAACATAAACAGGATTTGCTGAGTGATGGTGATTTTCTGAAGTATAAAATCAATTTGGTTTTGTTTACATGTAGAGAAAGTCTATTAAATCTAATAGCAATTTGTCCAGTATTATTTATTCTGTCAGAAAGGAAATAAAAAATAGGGGTTAGTAGTTTTGTTTCTTTTTTAAGAAACTTCAGTTGAAGACAGATGCTTGCTCTGTTTTTGAATTTCTTTTTCTTTGCTTTTTAAGACACATTTGGAAACAGAATCTGATTAAATTTTTCATCTGGAATGACATTTAAACTTAAAAGATAAGCTGTCTTATTTATTCCCTTTCTGTCAAATCTGAGAAGAAAAGCTGACGGTTTTCCCGCCCCTACCTTTATGTGCCTGTCAACACCTGCTGGCCCAGCCCACAAGAGAAGCCAAGGTATTTTCTGCCCTTTTTGTCAACTTCCATGAAGCCTCTAGGCCTGTTTAATTAGCAGAACTGGTTCATCCACTCCCCAGAGGCTTTTCAAGAGGTAAGATAAAGCTGTATGTCTAGATAACTATTAATGCTGCATCTGAGTAACTGAGTAACTGGATTTCTCAAAGCAGCACTCTCAAGGGTGAAATCCTGTCCACTCTTAGATCAATGGGGGAAAATACTGGATTCCATCAACTCCCTAAGTAGGAAAATAACCGCTACTCAACTCAATCTTTAAATATCTAAATTAGTATTTATTTTTTTAGGTTTCATTCCTCCTAAACACACCATAACCTTAAAGAAAGCTTCCACCTAGATGTAAGAAGAAACTTTTTTCCCCAGGAAGGCAGTAGGCAGCAGTGCAGGATGCCCAGAGAGCTGGTCCAGTCGCCTTCCTTGGAGGTTTTCCAGACCCAACTGTACGAAGCCCTAAGCAACCCGCTCTGATCTCAGAGCTGACCCTCTGATCCTTAACAGCATATTCAGTCTTCAGTGATACAGTCACTAAATAAGCTGTAAGTAACAACAGTATTATTAACTGAATATCTGAAAATACAGCGATTCAGGATTAATTCAGTACTGTAAGTGCTAACTCATTACAGACAGAGACATTTCGTGTAACTATAGGTTAAACACATTTATTTACTTATAATGCAGTAGCTTAAATTAAATTCAAATTTCCAGAGATTTTTAACTGACAGAACTACTCAAAAAAATCCCATGATGGGCAATTACTTGTGAGCCTTCTCAGGCAGCATCTCATGTGCTCTTGTCATTGCAGAACTATACAGGCTGTAATTATATGACTCTTCAGGCATTATCTACAGCAGTCAGATGGGGACCCAGGCACACAGCAGACACATCAAAGACCAAAGCATTTCCCTATGGGTTTCGCCTGCTCTTAGTAACATAACTAGCTCTTTGCTCATTAGATCTGAATTGCAGATCTGATTTTTCCAAATGTAGAAAAGGCCTGAAATTTTGCCTGAGCCAACCAGTACAAGATTTTTCTAGACAAGCACAGCTTCTTTATTATTTTAAATTTATCTTTTTACAAGGCACTTTTCCAAATCAAGACAGACAGCAGGCAATATAACTGAATGCATCCCTAGCACCAGCATTTTGCCTTACAGCCTTCCTCTCTATTATCATGGTAATGCATACAAACACAGATCTTCTTGTCCAAATTCTCATTCCTGGAAGGATGAGACTAGAAGAAAGATTAGCCACTTTGTAGTGGCTGGTAGCGGCTTTCAGATATACTGTCTTGGCTAACCTCTCTCCATCCAACCAAGACCCAGATGTTGCCAAGATCTTCCACGTTCAATGCACACACATTTCAGCTACATTCAGGCACTGAATTAAAGATAGAACAGTCTGAGCATAGCTCTAGTTCCTTTTCCAAACATAAAGAAGCTGAAACTGAAAGAAGTGGTAATGAACTAGTAAGAAATAATTCTTTCTCTGTCAACTGCTTTCCTCCTGGGTATATTCCATTTTGGGAATTTCCAATCAAGCCAAGCCCTAGTAGGCTAAATGCAATACAATCTTTCTCACCAAAAGAGATGGCCAACAGCAATATATAACCTAGAAAAGTTTGAACACATAGAAAACAGCATTTTCTTCAAGTTCTGATGCAAGCCCTGATGCCTGACACTATTCTTTACACTGGTTCTGAATAAAAAAAAAAAGAAACATTTACAGTCTACTGCTGGTACCATTTCTAAACTGGTGATACTATACCTAAGCTGAGGGGAGTTATTTTGGTTTTGATTTTTCTTTCCCAGACAGGAAAAGAAAAAGGATAGCCTACACAAACTTAATTCTTCATGCTTTCCACAAATGCATTGAGTTCTATAGAAATGCAGGCAAAACTGTGCCTCCTGGGAATGCAAAGTGGTGAGCTGTGCCTGTAAGTAATGAAGATGAAATGTTGCATGGTGTGTCAGATGAGTCTAAAACATAACCTTAGCAGGCAAAAACTGATCAGAGACTGAACTGATCATAGGGCTCATGGTATGGAATCTGCCCTGAGGTATAAGCAGTTGTAATAACCAGAACTGCTTTAAAAATATTGTTTTTTCAGTACTAATTGGCCCTCTTAGCCATGCAACAATTTTAAATCCAGATACCCAAAATAATTCTAGACTTCTATAATGTATGAGACTTAGCCATCAATATAGGCATGGCAATGCCTCCATAATATATTGATTTGATTATTACTACCGTGGCCTTCAAAAACCCATTCAGTATTATTAGAAGACATGATGTCCTTGTCATTCCATCACTCAGATATTCCCCACCCTACCCCACCCCCAAGCTGTAAGTTCAGGAAAGACAAAAGACAAAAATAAATAAGTACATGTCCAAGTAAGGGTATTAGCAACCAACAGGACACAAATGGAGTGAGTAGAAAAAATTATACTGGTGCTCATCTTCAAGACTACGATTACATCTTCAGAACACTAAAAGCTTGGGTTTATTTCACACACATTTCCTGAGAAAAGAGCAGCCTTACTGATGATGTACAGATCTTTCTGTACTGTTAGTGCCATCACACAGCAGCCTTCCTTTAATGAAGAAGTCAAGCACATGCCTGAACAAGCCGGCTCCTTCAAAGGCATAGAGAAAAATATTAATGAATGCCTTGATAAAGATGTATCAAGAACTTCCCAGTGAACTGTCCTGGAAGACCAAAAGTTTCAGGATGTGCTGAAAAACAGAGCATAAAGAAACTCTGGACAAATCACACTATTCTCTAACATTACAACTCACCACAAAAAGGGAGGGGGGGAAATCAAAGAAAGAAACTTGGTTGCCAGAGAACTGTGTGATACTAGGCACAGGGAAGATCATTTAATGCAAATACATTTCTAGTCCAGACTTCACCAAAGAAACTTTTACTAGTGAACCAAAAACTAGCAAATGAACCAGCAACTCTGGAGTCCTGAACATCCACCGAAACAATGTTCTTCATTTTAAGTGACATGAAGTAGCATTACCAATACACAATGCAGATCGATTTTTAAGGGAGTGCCATCATCCCAAGATGGATACAGTAGTATTTTTAGAAATTAAGTGTCTTCACATGACAAAAATATGCATACATACATCTTCAAGATAATTTGCCATTATCACATGGCAATCAGGAAATTTTCTATTACTCCACTAAGTAAAGCA